GGCCAGAGCACTCAGAGCATCCAGAGCTTACTGGGAGACAAGTGGGAGACAAGTGTGAAATCATGCGGCCAAGCACTCAGAGCATCCAGAGCTTACTGGGAGACAAGCCTGAAATCATGCGGCCAGAGCACTGAGAGCATCCAGAGCTTACTGGGAGACAAGTGGGAGACAAGTGGGAGACAAGGGTGAAATCATGCGGCCAGGAACACAAGCCCGGAGACAAACTCAAAATCATCCTGCCCGAGCATGCACCCCTTTAAAAGGAGTAAGAACCCCTCACAGGTAAACCTGTTTGGGGAAATATCTAAAACATCAGTCAGAGGGGCACCGCAAGACTTTTATATGGTACTGCTTTTTGAGCGCTGTCTTTGAGGTGGGACCCACATTCTGAGTTTGAGACCTCTTGAGGTGTCGGGTGTTGAGATAATATATTGACACTCACGCTTTAGAGGAGATAATATATGGATGCTAATATTGAATCAGAGCATCCCTCCTTTTCCATGGGCCTTTTCAATCTTCTTAGAACATTGGACACCATCCACCTAGACGTGACGTGATGCATGGCTGAGGGCTTCTTCCGTCCCCACGCGGCGGAACCTGTTCGACGAAATGGCCCACATGTTAGCTGCGCATCAGCATCCCCCGCTCCAGTCCCCTCGCCAGGCCGGACGTCCCACGCGGCGGCTCGGCGGCTTGTCCCCTGGCCACTCCTCCTCGGCCAAGCCGAGAGAGGCGTGGTCGACATAGACCTGGCTCGGCGCGAGCAGAGGTCGAGGGGCGACAGTTGTAGTGGTTGGCCTTGAGGATTCGAATCACCTACATCCTGGGAAGACCTGGCAAAGTGCTTGTTACTGCTTGTTTGCAAGATGAGGCCTTGGATGTTGAATGAGATCCCATCGATTTTGGGTTTTTTTCCGTGCGGTCTTCAAGCAGGTGCCGGTGACTCATTGCCAACGTTAGTGTCCGACTGGAGCGCCTCAAACCGATGGGTGCTTGTAAAGTAGCGAGCAGACTTTTTGGATCCTGGGACATTTGGACCAGTTGCTCAAAATCCTGGATCACGTGGCGAAGAAACCCTTGAAGAAACCCTCACCAGGATGTGTGGTTCCGTGCAAGGTGAGGTGAACAGTTTGGTGTTGGAAGCAAGGCCTCGCCGCAGCGGCAGATTTGTTGAACCAAGCATTGGCCAATGAGAAGAATACACAACATCAATCCGGGCTTTCTCCCGGTTGTGGGTCCTACCATATCCTACTGCTTCCTGGTGAGAAGCGCGTTTTGAAGCCTTTGGGATCCATATGATTTGGACTCACATGGACGTGCCCATAAACTTTTTGGGACCCAAGGTGGGCCGCTAGATTGGAGTGATCTTCTAATCTACCATGTTTGGGTCCCAAGTTCTTCGCCCCGGAACAGGAGAAGTTCGTCTTTGAAGGTCCGAGTCGTCCCCATGAGCTTTCACTTTGCCTAGTGGAGTATTCAGCTATTCAAAGATATCCGGATATCGAGATGGATTTGAGGCATGCGAGTGATGGAGATATCCAGCACCTCAAACATATCACAATCATCCACAGTATACTGCAGATGACGAACTTTTGGGGATCCAAAAGCCTTGGCATCTCTAGTTGCCAGAAGTTGTCGAAGAACATGATCAAACGAGGCCAATCAATGAAGGTGATTGTCATCCATCGTTGAATGTCCAGGTTGGACCCTGAGGTCCAAAAAGAATACTCTTGCCCTAACCATCATTGGACCCTCCTATGGCTCCTAAGGAGGCTTTTGATCCTGCTTTTCGCAGGGTTTGCACCCAAAAAACCTTTGAGGGTAATTGATTCTTGGGGTGGAAAACTGCAGGAGTCGAGGAGTGTGTTTGGCACCCTGAGCTTCTACTTGAGACGCATCAAGATCCTCTCTCCTTCAACACCGCGTGTCGTGCAAAAAGTCGTGTCGACCCAAGAGGGCAAAGTGAGAGGAAACCACGTCGCATCAAGCGCCCAGTGGTTGGTCCAGTTGTGCCACGAAGTTCTTGAGGGAGTCACGTGCATTCAGTTCATGTCAGTTTGCTTTGCCGGGAATCCCTGAGACGTCTGCAAGACACAAGACTTTGCATGGGTGAGTTTCGCAAGACTTGGCAAAGAAGCGACCTTGGCCTTTGCAAAGACTTTGCCGAACAGAACTTCCAGGTGTTGACCTTCCCACGGGCCCAAGGTGATTATCGGACAAAGAAGAGGCCATGAATCGTATGCTCGAGAAGCGTGCTGAGCTGCATAGGAGGCGCTCCCGCGGCTCCCTCCCCAGGCTGTGGGGATGTGAAGAGACGACTTGTTTGGGCACTAAAGAGAAGAAGGAGGCGTTCAGAATTCAGGAAAAATACAGATTCCTTTGGAAAAGGAGTGAGATTGTGGTGATCTTAGTCTTGGAGTAGATCCAAACTCTGTACTCAAAGCTGAAGTGGATACTGGCTGTTCAAGAATGCTTCGACAAAGCAGATATTGGGAAAGTTGGATATGATTCCACTGGCCTTACTACTAGGAGATACTAGGAGCAAGGACGCTACTAGGAGCAAAGGGCATCGCTACTAGGAGCAAGGATTCCACTTTTGACGTGTCAGGACTCGACTTCATTTTCTGTTTTTCGAAGCGGAGAGGGCGACAGTGTTGCAGCGCAATCTGGGATCATCTGGGGTACTATCCGGCAACAATCACTGATTCACTCCAGTGGGCATTGTATATAGGACCCCTATATGGCCTTTATTTCGGTAATCTAGTAATCTACCTAGCAAGCTGCTCAGCGTTTCCCTTCACGAGCATGCGGCGCATCTGCCACGTAGACTGGCGCGTCGATGTGACCAAAAGATGGACAGCGCGTGATCGCCGGACGTGCGGCCTCTCGGTCATGCGAACGAGGTCGACTCGGCAAAAGCATGCAAAAGCCAAAGCTCACCGAACGTTGACTCTATAAAGGGAGCTTGTGAAGGCACCAAATCCCCAAACCCAGCTGATCGATAGCAGTTGTCCTTTACGTCGATGCAAAAGGAGTTCCAGCAGTCGGTCTGAGTTGATAACACCGTGGAGCCCAGACCTCCGGTATGGCAGGCTGCTTTGAAGCTAACGGACAAGCCAGCAAAATGATGCAAAAGGTGGGTTCATTTTAATTTAGAATATTTAAATTGCTGGTCAGTCAGGGTAGGGCAGCAGGTTCATTTTGATGGTTCCAGTCTGCCACCAATTTGACCGATTCAAGAATGGTTCCCAGTCGATGTTCAATGATTTTCACAGTGTCGGTGCCATCAGTTTCCGGTGAGATTCAGTTAATGATGACACATGATTTATGTTGTTGTTGTTGTTGTTGTTGTTGCAGATTTGAGCTTAATGATTGAAACATTCGGAGCCAGAAGCGGTTTCATGATTCACAGACGTGAAACACACCCGCTGAAGACGAAGGAAGACAACATTGTGCAAATGATCAAAGGTGATATTAAGCAACACACAATTAGAGCTGCGACTGATGTGACCAGGACTAGATTTGCACTTGCTGACGCCACAGGTGATTGGAGTTTTGCAGCGATTGGTAGAACAGTGTCAATGGCCAAGGGTTTGTTCATCGTGACCTGTGCAAGTCGGCAATGGCCTGACAGCTTCGCAGTCATAGGGCCAAGTGCGCCATGGATGACGCAGATGCCGATGCAGCCCTACAAAAGTTCTTCGAGGAGGCTACAAACGGTTCTGTGCTCTTGCTTTGTCTAGAGGTGGTTGTTTAGTCAAGAACCCAATGTCTTTTGCAGCAGGACCTCGGTGCCTTTTACCGTTTTTCTCCTGACATTCTTACTTCTCCATGATTCAAGGGGATGTGTTAAACTCAGCGCCAGGATGCTTTGCTGGAGGCCGGGTTTCAGGGAGCAGAACATCAGTTATGTACATGTGTGAACGGAAATGTGATGTTTCTGACCCACTTGACCGGTCCAGGGTTCTTACTTCAGGCTCATCATGCGTAGTTTGACAAGATGCGTGATTGTTTGAAACTGCATGTTTGGATGATGACTTCGCAGAGATATTTCGCAGTAAGTTCGGCCGTGCCTGAGTACAGCAGATGAGTGATAAATCCGAGAAACACTCAAGTATACTCATGTTATGGACGTTATAAGAACAGATTGAGTGGCTTCTGAACCCAGTGCGGCTTCAATCAACGAATTTGCATGGCTACAAATACTCTCACTCAGTGCATGCAGACCTGTAGCAGTCCTTTGTTCCCAAACTGTCTCTTGCAAGGCCATCTACTGCAATATGTGTAATAATATGTTTTTGTTTTTGTGATTCCTCAACAAATGGTAGTCCAAAGCTGGGTCCACAAAGGCTCGAGGAGTTTGAAACAGTTTGGTGTTTTGTCACAACCCGGCAAAAATACAAAAATTGAGCTTTCACGAGATCATGTTATCAGTGGGGATGATCTGGATTGACTTGAGATTTCTTGAGATCAGCGAAGGAAGATCCAAGAGGAATTCTTCCAGAAAACTCCTGTCTATCCCAGACACTCCATGTCTGCCAGATTTGCCTACATTGGGGTGGTGTAGACATAACTTCCAGTCCCAGACAGGTTGTGTTTGGGGTATGCAGCATGGCTCATCTGTTTGACTTGACCCGCGTGGCCGGTGAGACCGGTGCGCCGAGCCACAGTCGGATAGGCCCTCCAAGATGCTCCGGACATGGAAGCACAAGCCGAAGTCTTCAAGGCGAGGCATAGCCTATCAGCGGGGCGACATGGTGAGCGTTTGCTCAGCGTATTAGCTGGAAGTTTCGAGACGCAAGACTGCCCCGCAGGCCAGGTGCCGCCGCACTCGTAGAGGGAAATGGTGATAGAACATGGTAAAACCCTTCGAATGCCGGGCAGGAAAAGCACATTAGTTTATACACCAGACGAGAAGGTTCCACATGCATGTCACCCATGTGCCTATACACCGGGAGAAATGATGATCTTCCCAGAAGAACTGTCAGTTTGGCTCAAAATCCAGGAGTTTATCACGATATAGCTGAGATTTATCACGATATCTGTCGCTCCTTTGTGAGACTTCTCTTCATGTCGGGTCCCCAAATCTCGCCGTATTCGGCGCCGGGTCAGGTGCCGAAACCTTCACGCCCAGCCTCCACCGCGGCTGCCGTGCCGGACGTGGTGCCGGACGTGGTGCCGCCCGCGCCGGTCGCGGGGGAGCTGCGGCGGCACCGGCGTGAGGAGCGGGGAACGCTGGAGGCGGAGCATGGCAGATGGTTTCGATGCGAGTCGAGTCCTTTGAAAATGGAATGTGAACCGAGCAGATGAGCAGATCATTTGATCGGTGAACGGCATGAGTTCGGCAGGAAAGAAGGCACCCCTTCTTGGAGGCTAGACTAATCTACATCTATCATTATCTATCTACTATGACATAAGTTATGAATAGTTATGATATATATATAATGATGGGTGCCGCCTTGAGGACATTGTCTGGTGGGGGTATGTGCCCCAAATATGTGTTTGATATACTGTTCTATATCAATGCTGGCTGCGTTAGCTAAATAGGAAAGGAATCCCTTGAAGGTGGGAACATTTTTGGGTGGTTAAAATTATTTGGAAGGTGGGAGGGTGCCAGAGGGGGTCCCATAGACCCTGCCCCACCCTCAAATAATTTTACCTAAGACCCAGTATGACCCAATATTCAGCAGACTCATATCGTTCTGGTGAAAACCGTTTGAAAAAATAGAAGACCAATGAATAATGAATCTACAAAGCATTCTATTGTGTGTTTTTTTGTGTTTTCATGCTTTCTCTCACATGTTTCAGCAGTTTTGGTGTGTTTTTGTTGTGTTCTCATGTTTTCTATTGTTCCTAAGATTGTGAGGTTCATATGCAGGGGTCCCATAGAGCCTAACCCACCCCAAAATAATTCTTTCGACAGGATAGTGGGGATCCCCCAGAACCCACCTCACCCTCAAATAATTTGACATACCCCTCAAATACATTCTGTGGGTGTTGTGGCCTAAATTTGGTTGCGCCATCTTCGGTACACACACAAAAAACGTGCCAGAGCAGAGAAGAGGACTTGCGGTTGTTTGCTTTTGGGCCTTCATTCTGAACATGTCCAAACAGATCCGAGCAGTCATTTTTCTTGGAAGATGCTTGAAGAATCATGAATAATTACATCCATCAAGGTTTTTCAGAAAAAAGTTGAAGATCACTGCTGATTATTTTGGGGAGTCTCCACTACCCAAAATAATTCTTTGGGGGGTCTCTAGAGGGACCCAGAATAATCTATTTTGTTATTTTGGGTGGGTGGGACAGGGGGGACCCCTCAGGGACTACCCATATATAGTTATATACTATGATGATCATTTTCCCTGGATCCCCCGAAAGAACTCGCCCCTTCTCATGGGGTTGGCACCGCAGATCGAGAAGCCCACCAGTGGGGCTCGCGCGAGCCGGCCCGAGCGTCGGAAGAGTGGACGCTCCTGGACCGGTGGCTTTGGTGGACAGAAGGGGTCACCGGTGGGTGGTGTTGGGAGGCAAAAAAAAGTTTGGACACTGAAAAGCACACCACACAGTGCCACACAGGGTGTTGACCCTTCAATTTTGCTTCCTGGATCGTTTGTGGGTGTGTCTTGAAGATCGCTGGTGGGTGCCTTTTTTGGCGAGGCTGATGAACGTGAGGGCAAACATCGAATCGTGTTTAAGCAACAGCCCGGCTGAGGGAAAACTGCAAGAACATGCAAGAGCATATTTCTCTCTCTCTCTCTATGTATATATATACACAGTGTGGTATTTCTGTTAAATGAGGGAAGCAGATGAGAAGCATTGTAGATGATGTTGCTTCTACAATCTACATCATGCCATGACTACATCATGCCAGGACTGTTTACAATTATGGACAGTAGGCCAAAAGTGTTTTGATGAGATAGTTGTCAAGCTATTTCCAATAGTTGTTGAATCGGAGTATTCTGTGCATTTCTAGGGTGGATCAAATTCATTCAATTTAGTGATAGAGTCCGGGGTTTTAAACATAGCTAAAACAGGAGGACGACATGTTGAATATTTTTCCAGCCTCACCAGGCACACTCCTGGTGATTTGCATCAGCCTGGTGATTTGGCTCATCATCCTTTGGCTTTGGAGCCCCAGTGAGTTATGGCCGGAAGCCACCAACAAGGAGCGAGCAGAAGGGTCGAAGTAGAATCGCCCACCCAATTGATGCGAGTTGCATCTGGATGTCCAAGAGAAACAACATTCTACAAAAGGATCCATAATTAGCTTGCTGAGCAAAGTCCATCAAGGTGCTTGTTGCTCCAAACGCATCCAATCTCCAGATCTGCACTCTTTCCAGGACGCCCGTCCGAAAGCACCAGCACCTGCAGCTGCGGCCATCCGCCTTCCCTCTGCCAATGCCACGGACGCTGAAGCGGCGCCGGGCGCTCGCGGCGGCAGCGTGGAGGTGGCCTGGACCAGCGCGGACGTCTCGGGCAACGCCACCAGCGCGGACGTGTCGGCCAACCGGACGGAGGTCACGGATGGAGGCAGCGATGGGGTGGCCGAGGGAGCGGAGAGTGATAACTGTGGGCTTCCACAGGGAGGGAAGAGTGCATGTGTTGATTGAAGTGTTGTTACTGAATGTCACTGACAATCACTGACATATTGACATATTATATATTTAGAGTTTGATATTGATGTCACAATGTGTATTTCATGCTTCTTCACAACAGTGTTTCTGTGCATTTGGTGGGTGAGCCAGCGGTGAATTAGAGCCACAGTGTATGGAAACACAGAGATTGCAGGAGCGAGTTCAGAACCATACTGTAGCCGGTGTATGCAGAACAGGTCCATCTTATTTCTTTCTTGGCCCCCAGATTGCAATCCGCGGTCCGTGTTTTGCATGTTTTGCATTATTTTTATTTCACCATAAATCGCCACTGGAAGGCAGCTAACGATTCATTTTGCCAGCTGAATGGGTTCCGTCAACAGGTTGAAAAATGGATTATATAATTGTATCACTCGAAGTCCTGGCATTGCTTCTTCAATCAGCGTTTATAATGGAAGTAGGATAAGGTTGGGATGGTTGTTCAAAGTGAGTATTTTCGACTCTGTTGATCATCTTAATGCTTGCTCAGTTGAGAATAAGATTGATATGCCCTGGGTTTTCATCGGCATGATTCGGCAAGGCATGGCTCGTCGAATACGAAAAGGACGACGAGATAGGACAGGAATAGGTCATTAGAAAAATATGTAAACTAATCATATTATATATAATAAATATAGTATTATCAAAGGAAGTTTAGTGTGCAAAACTTCCGTGTTACGCACATTCACCACTCATCATACACCACTCCTCATACACCACTCCTCATACACCACTCATCAGACACCACTCATCATACACCACTCATCAGACACCACTCATCATGCACCACTCATCATACACCACTCATCATCCAAGAGCTCTAGCTCCAGTTAGCCCTAGTTTCAAGAGCTCTAGCTCCAGGTAGCTCTAGTTGCAAGAGCTCTAGCTCCAGGTAGCTCTAGTTTCAATAGCTCTAGCTCCAGGTAGCTCTAGTTTCAAGAGCTCTAGCTCCAGTTAGCTCTAGCTTCAAGAGCTGTAGCTCCAGCTTACGTGGTAGGCGCAGCACTTTGTGAACCTCCATGTGCAGATTTCGTGGCAGGTGCAGCACTTTGTGAACATCCATGTGTAGATTTCGTGGCAGGCACAGCAGTTTGTGAACCTCCATGTGCAGAGTTCGTGGCAGGCACAGCACTTTGTGAACCTCGAGGTGCAGATTTCGTGGCAGGCACAGCGCTTTGTGAACCTCCATGTGCAGATTTCGTGGCGGGTGCAGCATCTGTGGAGCTGGAAGCTGAGAACTGGCGACTTTGTAGTACAACTTTAGTACGCGGAGTATCTGCGGAGCTGGAAGCTGAGAACTGGCGACTTTGTAGTACAACTTTAGTGCGCGGAGTATCTGTGGAGCTGAAAGCTGAGAACTGGCGACTTTGTAGTACAACTTTTGTGCGCGGAGTATCTGTGGAGCTGGAAGCTGAGAACTGGCGACTTTGTAGTACAACTTTAGTACGCGGAGCAATCTGTCGAGCTGGAAGCTGAGAACTGGCGACTTTGTAGTACAACTGTTGTACGCGGAGCATCTGGGGAGCTGGAAGATGAGAACTGGCGACTTTGTAGTACAACTTTACTACGCGGAGTATCTGTGGAGCTGGAAGATGAGAACTGGCGACTTTGTAGTACAACTTTAGTACGCGGAGCATCTGGGAAGCTGGAAGATGAGAACTGGCGACTTGGTAATACAACTTTAGTGCGCGGAGCAATCTGTGGAGCTGGAAGCTGAGAACTGGCTACTTGGTAGTACAACTTTTGTACGCGGCTGAGCGCGCTCTCGCGGCTGAGTCATCTTTCGCGGCTGCCATGTCTCCCGACCACCCGGCTCTCTTCAGAGCTTGACAAATTTTAGCTACATTGCTTACATAAAACTTGACATTTCGATTACTTTACGCATGGCGGAAAGAACCGGAATATTCTTGTCCTATAGGTCAAATTATTCTTATAGTAAATTTCCGCTATATATAAAATACTCATAGTGAAATCATATAGAATAATTTATATATAATTTTATATCATTGGAATAATAATTATTATATCTATATATTAAAATATTGAAATATAAAATATAATATCGATATAATAAATGAATATATTATTAATAATATATGATATATTTCGACAATAAAAATTTGTATAATTGTAGTATAAAATATATTGGAATAATAATATGAATAATTTGAAATAATTATTGGAAGATGAAATGAAATATATATAAATTATATTTATTTTAAAAATGTTTGAGGGGGAATTATAATTATGATTACGATTGATTATTGAAATGTAATTTAATGATATTTTATTAAAATGATTTGACATTAATATTTTTTATTGAATTGTTGTATTTATCTATATATTGTTTGTAAAATTTAAGAATAAATCGCAAAATCGAATTATTAGAGGTTGATTAATTAAATATCATTGGAATAGGATTTATTACAATTAATCTTTAGTTATATTTAATTTTATATTTGATTTTTAAAAAATCGGGACAAAAATAATATTACAAAAATATTATGTTTTTTATAATAAAATATATAAATTTTTTAGGAAATATTTAAATATTTGGAAATATAGGAAGAACATCTCTAAAATATTTATATGGATACAATGGAAATTTATATATCGAAAATATATTGTTTTTTTTCTACTATCTTTCTTCGATTACCGGCGGAAAAATAGAAAAAATTGCAGATATTCATTAATTAATGATATATACAAACACCATACCTGAATGCAGATGTCTATAAATATCCTTGTATTTGCTTGCAATTATTATATTTTCCTGATTTGCAACGAAAATATAATATATTCATTTAATTGCCATAGACGAAATTTCTATGCCAATCTTCAATTATAATCATAGGCTTAAGGTTATTTGGAATTTATTTTGTAAGATAATATTTTTGAGTCATCTAGGAATTAAACCTTTTGCCGAATATTGCCGAACAATATTCATAAAATCTAACAGCAACTACCTGTCGAATAACGATTATAAAACATACGAATTATAATGTTTATAAATATATATATATTATTCGAATTTATTTTTAAATTGTAGTTATATATTTATTTAATTAATATTAATAAATAAAAATATATATATATAAAATATATATTTATTATATATATTATTTTTTTCAATTAATCTATAATATTTTTATTAAATACAATAATTCAATAATTAAATATAAATATTTTAAAAAATATATAAATAATAAAAACGAATTTAAAAATAAAAATAATATATATATATATATAATAATAATAAATATAATAAATATATATTTTATATATATATATTTTTTTATTAATATTAATTAAATAAATATATAATTATAATTAAA